CATTCTTTGCGTCAATCCGTGGTTGCTCAGTCGGTAGGGCGCCCACCTCAAAACCGATGGGTTCCGGGTCAACCACCGTTCTTCCCTTCCGAGGTTTATAAATGAAAACCACTCTGTGGAGGGTAAACATGGAACTATACGCCATGCTTGCCACACGGCTGAAGTATATTATTTGTTGTAATAATGTAATAAATTGTATATCCAATTTGCGATATGAATAAATTTATTTTATATAGTCTCATTCTTTCTTCCCCACCGCATCCGATAAGGAGATTGTTTTGAACATAAAACTTGTTATTTAGGCTTCTGCAGTAGAGTCCTTGTTACCATTGGTATTTGGAGCATCCGTTGTATACGCTAATCTTTCTTTTTGGACATTAAGTTGCAGATGCTTTCTTGTTTGCTTCGTTCGCCGCCGTTTTAACAGTCTTTTGTCCTTTGAGTTGGCATTTTTTATATCATAATGTGGAATGCAATCTCTGTCTGTAGGAAGTTGTGTTTGGCCGAGGCAGAGCTTTTGGCATAAGCTGTTTATGTCGCTATTAAACAGTCATTGAATTGCATTTTTACTGCTTCAGTATGTCTAACAGCGAGTACTTTGAGGTACTCAGGAAGTACAAAGTACTGTATTATTTTAGTGGGTCTGGTAGATTTACTTCTTTGCACTATTAAATGTAGGATAACACAACTGTAGGTACCATTAGTTGTGATAACCGCAAGGTTTCTGGGGAACAAAATGATGCGAGGTGCATTTGTCACTGCTGATACTGATATACCACTAAGCTGTTGCATGCTTAAATGTCCCCTTCCCCTCCTACCTCCTCGAAGAAGCACGTGATGGTGCAGTACGCCGTGAAATGCAGTTATGCATTACCTGACGTACTCCGATGTCTGAACATATCTTGATGATCTTTGATTATTTAATGTATGTTTTTATCGCATATTTTCGATTTTTGTATTCTTTTATAGTGTTACTGTTACGATATGTTTGCATAAATGACAAAGTTGAAATGAGAGTAGATTTTGCTGTCATGTTTTGTTACGATTATTGAGGAAAAGCTGAAACTCTGCGTTTTTAAGTTTATGAATGGTGTGGTGAATTTTAGGAACAGATTCCGGGTCAACCGATCATCAACAATTCGCAGATGGCACTGGCGGGTGCTCGTCCGCAAGGAACCTTGGGAACCCCAATCACAATGTTGACGAATCATTTTTTAATGACCATCCCGCCTGACCTTGTGGTTTTTCACTATGACGTGGAGGTGAATTTCGCAAGAGGGAAAATCAGGGAGTCGCTGACAGATCGGGGTACTGAATGTCGTCAAAGGCGAATGTAAGTCGCTTAGATTCGTAACTTGTTCGTACCACGCGGTTGCTGAGAGCTCTTTTCAGGCACGACCGGCTGGAATCGCGCGAAGAGTGCTTTGTGCTTTACAAGGGATTATACGCTAAATATCCGAAGATCTTTAGCAGTGACAGAAGATTCGAAATCTTTTACGACGGAAGAAAAAACCTGTTTTCTCTGAGCCAGCTAGACATCAGTAAAGCCCATCCGGTACGAATGTTTCTTCATGACGTGTTTCTCTTTCTCTCTCCACGTTTCGTTTCAGTTTACGGCCATGTTTCGAAAGCCCAACGGCGATGAGGCAACGTTTAAGGTCACACCTTGCGATCCGTTGACTGTTAACGCGTCTGACATCATCAGTGGATTTGCTGGCAATTTCATTGACTTCGATCGAAGCGCGTTGCAGGTGCTCGACGTGATCACAAGCATGAAGCTGAATCTGAATCTTGGGTAATACAGCATTTTTTTTTAAAGCGGTGGTATTGCGTTCATTCCTCGTAATTTGTCTTCCGTTTAGAAAAGAAGAGTACATGCAGTTCGGACCGTTCTATTTTACGAGTTTGATCACACAGCCTTTCGGAGCCGGAATGCAGATTTACGATGGCTTGTTCAAGTCCATCAGACCGCTAACTGGTAGTTCAGCTATTGCTGAGCGATACGTGCTTACGCTCAACATTGACAGTAAGTTTTTCAACTGCTTTCTTACTCGTCTTCAACTTCTGTTAGTTGAATTGTGTTTCTACAGCTGCTTCCATAGTTCTGTATGTTTTTTATTTATGTTTTGCCTACATTCATTTCTTCGTGCTTTTTGCTTCCATGTTACTGTTCTAATTTTATTGCTTTTTTGTTTATATTGTTTCAAATACTGGTCGCCTTGCTTTTCTAAGGCTTTTTCTATTATTATTTTTGAGTTGCTGTATTTTTATTCTTTGCACATGCATATGTCGTTTTTTTTTGCATTTTCTGTCTGTCCCTACAGTTGTTTTTTCTGTATTTTTGTTTCACTATATGCCTTTTACACTAGATAATTTGTGTTTCTGTAGTTGTGCTTACAACTCTAATTTTATTTTGTGTTTAATTTCGCGTCCTGTTTGCCCTCTGTGTCTGCAGTTGCTTTGTAGCAGTAATAGTTTCGAATCCAGGTTTAAAAGTCTTAAGTTCAAGTCCCATTAGAGTTACTTAACTTTCATATTGCCAAATTAAAAAAATAATTGCCATTTTGTGGGAAATGAAGCTGAAGCATAGGCTGTGCCCTTAAAACTAGGCCCTGGCATGAAAGTAAAGATGAGAGCTACATTTGGAGTCATTACAAAACTGTCACGAAAGGTGCCTTTAATGGAGATGGATCTGCCAAAGGTTACAAAGTTTACCTTGTTTATTTCTCGCTTTTTCTTAGTTCTTCTTGGATGTTGTTTCTTTTCTGTGAGGGATACACATTTATTATTTGCTTTCTTTAACTTAATCTCCCATTTCTTGATAATTGTAATTTAGTTCTTTGTTGTCGCAGCGATTTTCATCAATTTACAGATTTGAGATTTTGAAATCGTTTGATATTTTATTACGCTTCTAAAATATGTTGGGTAAATACTCGTACCTGTTGTTTTAACCGAAGTATCATAATCTATTTTAGCTAGAAAAGCTCCGTTTTTCGCTGCTCAAGATATGCTCACCACCATCTGCGAAGTACTGAAGCTCTCTGCCGTACCTACCGGTCCATTGGCTTCCTATCAACTCCAAATTTTGAATCACTTTTTGAAAGGTAAATGTTTATCTTCTGAAAGCTGAAACTGGGTGTCGGTTGGTTTTCAATTTTATTTAAAAAAATTTACCATTTGCTCAAGCAGTAACTTTTGGATACAAACATTTTCGCGGTTTATGAAATATTTTTGATCTGTGATAGTTTACGAAAATTAATATCTTTGACCAGCTTGGGTAAACTTTAAATTTTTTGAATTTTTGTAAATTCCCTTTGATCCATTGTATTTCATGCTATATATTTAGCATAGGGGTTGATCCATGAACAGTTGAATCAGGTAGCTCTACTTCAGGTTTATTTTAAACGTCTCTGAAACTTCGCGACAACAACTGAGGGCCTTTAATGAAAAGAGAAATTCTGGTCATATATATGTATATATCGTTTATATTCACGTGACAGACGGATTCTGTCCAACAGCTGTAGCATAGATATGACCGCTCGGCTTACCATATGAGACAAGAGGATACACCCACACCGACACGGCATAATCTATTCTGACCTGACCACCCATTCTGCAGATCAGCCGTCTCCTTCCCCGCAACGCAATCTTCCGTTGCCTTCGGTACATCGACTCTGTACCGATTGGACGTACGGCAGACATTATCTAACTGGCCTTTGCCAAAAAAATGGAATGAACATTCTAATACGCAACACTGAATTTTCCTGTCGTAGTGCTGATTGCTGGAATCGCGAGATTCTTGGTTTCTAATTGTCTGTTAACTTGTCGAGTAGGAACTTCTCGCTGCTTAGCTCAGTACAAACGTTTCTGCAACAGCAATGAGTTGGCGTCGATTACAAAGAATTACATCTGACTGTTATGACAACGATGTTAGAATAGGGCAGAATCAGTGTTGACTTTATAGTGATAATGGTAGTAGAGAACTTTACTCTGGGCTTAAAACAAAAATATAAGGCGAAGAAAACACTGCACGGACGATACTGTTGACTCGGCATAGTGTAATATCATTCATCCATGACGATCACACATGAACGTGAGAAGTTGCATGAAATTGTGCATCATATAGTTAACTATTTCTATGTCGGAGGATACGACTTTGCCGCAACTTTTATGAAAGTTCGGTCAAAAATGTTTAGGGTTTTACGAGTCTCTTCACACATGCGCTTTGGTCGAGTGACATTCAGTTCGTGATTCTTTGAACCGCGAATTGATGGTCATTTCTCATTCAGCTTTTGAATGACTGCCGAATATCTTAAAGACAATTTTTGCTTTGTTCACAGATATGAGTCGGGGAGTCTAGCTTTCTTGTGATGCAAATGAATCGGTCAGGAATCGTCGTCTCGGATTTAGCCTTTTGCGTTCGTACTTAGCATTCTAAACTGAGCTTATAAGGTTGCTTCGTGGAACGAGTTTGTTGCTGGTATTTAATGTTCACAATTTTCGACAGATAGATACCGGTTAACCAAAGTGCGAAATTAAGCATTTTTTACCGCTTGCTGCTTATAATCCGCTAAGTTGGACCTCTTAGTTGTAATGTGAATTCTGTTGTTTATTTCAAAGTTTCAGTTGTTTATTTTAGGGTTGAAGGTTAAGGCTTTGCATACAAAACAAGCATTCAAAATTACTGGAATATCGCCGAAGACTTCGAATACTTACGAGTAATTTTGTTTGTTTACCTGTTGTAACTTCAGATTTCTAATTACTATGAATTTGTGTTGATTGTTGTTATCATTTCCTTGGCAGAATCAGATTGCTATGAGACATTCACTATTCAGTCAGATTCATAATGGACCCTGTACCCTACGTTTCTAATCAGGATCCTTGTCATATGCTAGTTCAACTGTTACTCGTTGCCCTAATTCATTCATAGACGTAATAGTTTTACACATGGACCAACAGATTCACAGTCGAAAGATTGTGAGTGTTAATCTGAGGGTGGAGGGAGGGATAATTCATTTCTCTTGTTTCTGAAACATAACATTGAGTAGTAGTTCGAGTTAAAAAAGTGTTAAATGCACCCTATAGTGATCACTAAAAACAACAGCAATGCATTGATGGGAGCGGTAGAGGTGGTGTGCTGCACCATAGGCTACATGAAAGAAGGGCGCCGCACTGAGAAAACGCTATTCAGGCAGGTTACTCAGTTTCCTTTGTGCTTAATTAGTTGTTCAAAATCTTGCAGATCCTGATCTTAATTTGGGGCTGTTATCGTCGACACCTTAAAAATGTTTATCATTCCCGTTTCGTTGCATGATTAACTCTGAAGTTTTATCTACTCAGTAGGTGTAGAAAGCGAAATATAAATTAAAGTTTAAAGAATCAAGGATGATGTCTATCTACTGGAAGTGTTGGTCGGGCTGTGAAAAGCGCCCTCCTCTATGTAGTTCAGGTATCAACTGCATAACTCAGTTCTGGTTATGAATGACGTGATTTTATTCATATAAGAGGCACAGCGTCCAAGGTGAACGCGTTTTACAACATCACAGTTGAATTGAACCTTAATTATTTTAGGCATACAAATACTATGAATGACTACGTGAGATCTGTGCTTCAGTTTTATGCAAGTATATACAGACAGACCCCGACTTACGTTAGACTTACCTTCCGAAAGCCTGTACGTAAAATAACTTTTACGTAGGTCAGATTTAAGTGACCCCATCCGTTAGTCACACCTTATTGCATACATGTTTATAATACCTTTATACAGTAGTACATTAACGTGTTTTAAGATCTATATATTTTACTTTCATTCAAAGGGTTACACATTAGATTTAAATATGTAATTATTAATGAAAAGTAATATAATGCAGCATAATAGTGTGAAAAAATGCAAAAACGATGTGTTTGCTTTGGCGGTTCGATCTTCCTTATGAAATTATTAAGAGATGGATAAGCAATGGCTTCTTATTTTCATAAATCATTCGATGACAGGCGATAGCTTCGTCTGCTTCTCGTTGGACTTCATAATTCATGGGGGATTGCGATTCATCTTCTCTAGTTCTGCCATTCCTGCTTAACTCCCACAAAACGCTACTGTTATCTCTATCGTTCTGAAACGTTTCGGTTCCGAACCCCAATCTTCAGTAATGCTTGCGTGTTCTAATTGAAACAGTTTTGCATTGAGTAGTTCATCCTCATATGAACTGTTTGGCATCATGTTCATGCCCATTTATACGGCCATCATCTTCTTTAATTGTATTTATTTTTGATGATGCGAGACTAAGGTCACGTCCTATGGCTATTAAGTTTTCTCAACCTTAGATATTCCTTTATAATCTTCATTTTTTATCTCTGGTGGTTTCAATTTTGGTGCGTTTATGCAACGGTTCACTATTTTTTCACTTGTATTCCTTTTTCCAGTGATGTTTGTACTCTGTCACAGAGGAGAAGAATGGTAAAGATTATTAAAACATATGAATTCGAATGCGCAGTACATCCGTTCTGAGTAGTAAAGAAAACGACGCTGAAGAAAGCGCTCGCATACACATTATGGGTTGTCTGCCTTGCAGGCGATTGATATGAGGTGGCGTGGGAGTAACTAGGGCGTTCAGTAGTATTTTTATGACTCAATCTTCCATAGCCATTTTACGATGATTTGCTTAAACCGGGGTCTGTCTGTACCTAGGTGGATTGTTCATAAGTATTTTTCCCTAAGTCTAGGCGTGTTTGTCGAAGTTGGAGCAGCGAATATTAATAATTGTTAATTGAATAACAAGCAGTTAGTGGTCTTGTTTAACTTCCCTCGATTCGTGTGAAAGGCGTGAATTGTTGAAATGAAGTTTGTAACAGCCACATAGTAGTTGTTGTGTTTTAGATTTGCGGTTGATGATGAACATAGAGTAACGGTAACGAACTACTTCAAGGAAAAATATAACATTAAACTAAAGTAAGAGTTGGCTTACTGTAGCTGTAGCTTTGTTTTCTGATTTCAAACGTTCAACTCTAATTTCAGGTTCGTGAACCTTCCTGTAGTGTTGAAAGGTCGTTCTGCTTTTCCCATGGAAGTCCTCCAGATACGGCCATATCAAAAAATTGCTTTAAGCCGCCTGACCGTCGAAGATCAAGCGGCTTTCATTAGAGCTAACTCGCTTGTTCCTTATGACCGTATGCAAGCCATCATGCGCAAGGTATTGTTAGCTACTTACTGTTCAGTTTGGTTAATTTGAATTTTTTGTTTAAATTTTAGGGCAGAATATGAAAATCTGATATGAGATATTTCTAAAACTTTGATAATTTGTAGTTCAAAATAAATTGGATTTCGTACTCTTGCTATTAAATCATCTGAGCTGGGATTAGTTCAGAAGATGGAAAAATAACCCTAAAATTATTCATTTTTTTATGAAGCAACCTACCATTTTTCTCATGCAGTGTTATTTCGTAAAACATCGTTATTTATGCAGTTATACATAGAAGAGAGTCACAACCTTGATGCACCTTTCTCAGTGGACATCGACCGGCGGCCTTTCGGTTCAGTTGCACTTCGAGCCGAAGACGTGATGGGCATCATGCAATAGGTCGTATTCGGTATTCCCCAGAAATTCAGGCAGCAGAAATGGTGCCTTTTTTCATGTCCTCTTTGAGGTGAGACGCCTCTCCGTGGTGCCCAGATGAAACCCCGGAGAACAGATGACTATAACTGAGCTCACCGAGGCACAGTATGTGCAGTCCTAGCCTCGCAGAGCTGTAATCTGGAACCAAATTCAGCCAGCGTGAATGCATATGCTCGATATGGTTAAAGCGCCTGCTAGCGTTGCCAGTTGTTGAAACCACTCTTCCATAATTGAAAGGAGTGGAAGGCACAGTGATGACCCCTAGTCGCATGCCTACTGGTTGAGACTGAGTATGAGGTACGACGATGAGGAATTGGTATTCAAGGGGCAGCGTAGCAAGCTGTCAGTTGGAAGACTTCGGCTCAGATGGAACGATGAGCTGAAAGGAACATAGAAGACTCTTGCAACAGTTTCACGAGACCTACGAACGTGATCTTTGAGTCAACTTAACCAGTGATGGTTTCTGTTAATTACAAAAAAGAATCAATCATTTGTTGTTGTGGTTGTTATGGTTTATTCAGTAAATGACGGATGAATGACATAACGGTTACATTTTTATTTGCTCTGTTAGGGAAATTAAAGTTCATGCTCAACTTTGAAAATCAGGCTGTTTGGATTGGATTCCATATCATGATTTAAAGCAGTGCACTTCAATTTTTAAATGTCGTATTTGTGATTGAATGATTGGACTTGCTTGATCGTCGTTATGTTACATAATAGTCATATAATTTGATATGGGCAGCTACACTATGATCGTCCCTTTCCATGTGTAGTTTGACACCTTGAAATGCACGTGGGTCTCTCTGCACAGTGGCTGCACTCCTTCATTCCACATTAAATTATTGAAATAATGGAAAATGTTTTATCCCATATAGGTATATACCGCATGCTCTATACATGCGACGTAATGTTTTGTAGTGAAAGAAGAGAAGCTGCAGAATCAAAATCGAAGCATGAAAACGGTATTTGAGAAAAACGGCCCTTCAGATTACGTTGCAGACTATTTCAGTTGGAACAAGAGAGTGAAGATCAACACATAGACGAAAGTAAAAGGCATTTTGCTGCCGCAAACCCAAAAATTCAAGTATCTTTGTTCCACTCTTCAAGATAATTTAGTGACAGACAGTGAAATAAGAAATCGGTCCAAAAAAGCGTTGTTCGAATGACGAGAGGCATGATGCCTAGGAAATTAAATGGAAATCTGTGCTGAATAATAGGAAGGCAGAAACTTCTTCCTAGAGCAGAAAGTTTTACTCTTCTGCCGAAACACGAGCAACAGCCGAACGCCTCAGAAATGCTAATGCTTGGATGGATGTGTGGTGTCAGCAGAAGGAGCATCACCTACAGAGTGCTTTCATAACAGGCGATTTAGGTGTAGTATCAGTTACAGGAAAGCTTATCGAAAGCTGTGTTCGAACCGACCGCAGCAGCCGTCAGCTGAGTTTAATCGAACTTCGTGCAAACTGCAACACAAACGCGTATGATGACGTGAGTTATCCAAGAAACTGCCATTCTCGAATGATATTTACAGTTACCAACATGTTTTACGAGAAAAGACGAACTTAGTACTGCTGATTCATCGCATTGGTTTGAGTAGACAATCGTCTCCACCGTTTGAGCAGTCTGATTCAGGGGTTAACTGGATTCAAGGAAATTTTTCCTTGTGATAATTGATTTTGTTGATATAGGGCTCGGTAACAGTGTGTGTTGTTGGAGGTAGATCAGAATCATTGCCGTGAAGGAAGGTGCAGTCGAAAATCGTTGAGTTGCCATGTCGAGGCAGATTATTCGAATCAAAGCGCGGTTTAAATTTGCTAAATAATTACAAATCATTCCAGTGAACTGAACAAAGAAATGAATGAGAAGTAGTTGAATGGGACGTGTTCAGATAACCGTGGGGTGTCCTGGCATGTTCATGTCCGCTTGAGTGACTTTGGGTTGTCACGTAATGAACCCCAGTTTTGGATCACGAATTCTCAGTTACTTGCCCAACTGACCCTCCAGAAAATCACGGAGATGGCCAGGAATAACCTAGGGAAAGTGTCTAGAAGGACTCCGGTTGTCTTCTACTGAGGCTCAAATGCG